GCGGGGAGGGGGGGGGGTATTCCGTTAGTTTTCTTGCTAGTTCGTGCTAGCTGACATGTTCCACTTCGATGAGGCCTGTGATTTTAAAGCTGCAATGTGATACAAGTGACTCACTTCATTACGATTTCCACAAAGTAGCCGTCGCTATGTCCATTTAGTGCCTCCACCACACCCCACCAAGCCGAATTGCGCCAAGCAGATAGCATCGCTACATGAACTTTCCGAACCATGTTAGCACCGTTCTGTGTACTATATTTCTTATTTTGTGTATCCCTAGACTGGCGAGGAAGCGGGACTTCCACCTGGTGTTTTCAATGTGCTACCTGCAAGTCATGAACATACTGCGGAAATGTCGAAATATTTGTGTGCAAGTACAGATGTAGATGTGATAAGTTTTACAGGAAGCACCGCTGTGGGGAAGGTGAGATATGCCCTCTCTTTGTCTTTTTCAAACTCAACAGCTCTTCCACCTTAGGCAGCGTTCAGACTTAGCGATAACACTCGTCGACGCGATCGATTCTCGTCTGCGGCTGCGTTCGCGTCCTTATCATTGGAGCGCTGTTGCAGTTGCTTGGGGTGGACGCGCGTCATCGCGAAGTTTGAACGCTGTCTCACATCAGCACCCTGCAATGTGCATATTTAGCTCCTTCTTGCCCAGTCTGCTTCTACTGTGAAAAGAGTATGTCTGGAGCTAGGTGGTTCTGCTCCTTTCCTGATATTTGACTCAGCTGACTTGGATGTCGCAGTCAAGGTAGATGTCTTGTTCTTGTTTGCTCTTTGTTGAATTTTCTATTCAAGTGACCATATTTACTCACCTCTTGTGAGTAAATTCACTGAGGTCATGAGATAAGTGATCCATGTGTTTGATTTCCAGGGAGCAATGGCCGCAAAGTTCCGTGGTTCGGGTCAGACTTGTGTGGCAGCAAATCGATTTTTCGTGCAACAAAAGGTATGTCGCGATTGTTTATAGTTCAGTTGTTATTGGGCATAAGCCCCGCGCAGTCCCCTGCGGCTTAAATTCCGCTCATGTGTGTCCTTGAGTTTACGGTTGGTGAATATGGGGCGCTCCAAATCAAACTGCATAGTTTCAAGGGACTCATATTTCTAGTCTAGTGCCTAGCTTATAAAACCAACTCCCTAAGCTTTCATGGCGCTTTGCAGATTCACGATGATTTTGTAACGAAAATGACGGTTGCTATGAAAGGGCTTGTCGTTGGAGATGGAATGAATCCGAAGACAACCATTGGTCCTATGATCAATGAGACTGCTGTCAAAAAGGTACGTTGTGATATTTTTGGGCGAAGCAAAAACCGCCGTCTTCATTTACATGCGCTGACATTGGAAGAAGAGGAGGTTACCGTCTTGTTTGGTATAGATGATGAGGGACCCTGCCTCACTGACACGCCCCTTCACGGGAACAAGACTGTAGATAGCTATCGTTTAGATTGATGGCCTGCTCAAGGATGCCGTGGCAAAAGGTGCACGTGTTGTGCTTGGTGGAAAGCGCGGGAAAGGAACTTGTTTCCAGCCAACTTTGTTAACAAACGTCACGAATGAGATGGACATTGCACACACGGAAATATTTGGCCCTGTTGTTGCTATACGAAAGTAAGTGGATCATTTCTCCCTACTTAATCCTATCCGCTTTCAGTGTCAGATAATGCCCCTTGTACTACCATTTGTCATCCCTTTTGTACTCGTTTCCACCGCATTTATCAGATATTCAAACAGCTTCGTATTCCATCTTAGCCCATGTTTGACAAACTTCTCTTTACCGAGTTTGCCAGCTCCTGAAGGGGATTCCTATCCCATTCGGTCACTCTACGGGAATGTCACACTAATCATAATATACTGACGAATAGCTGAGGTCAGTGGAAGTCTTCGGCGGTGATCAATTGTTTTTGGAGATGTCACCAGTTATTCTACTTGCAATCAGAATATTAGTAGCTTGTGCTGGTCATTGACAATGTGCGGATATGCGTAACGGATAGCGCACTCGCCCGGAAAGCGTGAGGTGCGGGTTCGACTCCCGCCTGGGGCACGACTTTTGCCCATAACTCAGCATTCTTGTGATAATATGCGAATAGTTGTCTTCCATTCTCCGAGACAGCCGTGCTCCTTAATCTGTCGTTCCGAAGCGTTGGAAGGCATGCCTAGCCTGGACGGGAAGGACTTGAAACTGTTATATACGTGGTTACGGCATCACTAACCACTGCACCATCTCCGCGTCCGGAAGAATGACTATCGCTGAAAAAAGCGGATGTCACGTCCGAGACCAAGTGAACGCTTGGATTTTATCCTTTTAGGTTTGCTGACGAAACACAGGCACTCAACGCTGCGAATGACACCCGAATGGGTCTGGCTGGGTATGTGTTCAGCAGGGATCCGTCGCAGATCTATCGAGTCACTCGTCGACTTCAAGTTGGAATGATTGGAGTCAACGAAGGTAGCAAATTCATATATTTATACAATTTCTTGATCTTCCTTGCCTTTTGTTCATTTCTTGACTTGCCGACTTAAACTCATTTCCACTCTCGTGCTCTCCCTTCATAGACTCATAAGAAATATGTTTAGATCTGAAAAAATATGTTTAGGTCTAATGTCATGCGCCGAAGCTGCCTTTGGAGGAGTCAAGGAAAGCGGGCTAGGCCGAGAGGGTGCAGCTCAAGGTATTGACGAATTCACCCAGTGGAAGTATATTTGCACACAACACTGATAGGTTTTAGTTACTATATTGACTTTTGTAAATCTCACTCTATCAATATCAGCTGGAAATTTTGCAATAATTTGTTCAGAAATGCATTTTCTCCTCTGATGGGAGTAGAAATAGTCATTATACAGGTGCTAGGAACTCCCAGTATATGTCGAGTATTTTCATGAATTTGTATTTTTCCGCTCACTTCATATTCATTTGAAGAATTCTCTTAACTTGGCCATGGTTGAGAATATTTGACTTTTCTCCACAATCTTTCAAAAAACGAGTGATCGTTTGTTTGGTTAAGCAACGTTCCAGTGGTTCAGTGATTTTTTTATGTTTTGTTAATGAGTAGGTTGCGTAGGTTGCGGTGTGACTTCTTGCCTAGTCTTAAATGTGTACGAGTTTGAGCATGTTGTTAATAAATTCTAGATATGTGTCATAGAAAGGAAGTTTTAGATGCACTGCGCTGTCTTGTTTTCCGCGGAAGGGGCATGTCAAGGGGGATGGGCTTGGCGCAACGCCAGCCCGTTTTTTCTTTTTTCTTTCGGCAAGCAACAAGACTGTATCCTATTGTTCATACCAGTCGTTTTCCACCAGCTATTGTCGCTCACCGCTCAGAAGAACGAGCTGGAGTTGAGCTAAATCCGGCCTCACTGACATGCCCCACCATCCACGTGAACCAACTGTACTATTAGTTGGAAAACGGATACTTTTCATTGCGAGGTCTGCAGGTATGCAGCTGTAAAACTGTGGCACTCACGCAAAAAGTAAATCTAGAGACTTGTGATTTCTTGGTTCCATTTTGTCTCCGCCCACTATTAACGTGACGTCATCACGATGTACTACTACTTTATTATACAAATATTTGTGTGTAGGCATCGAAAATAGCAGAAACAAAATAAAACGTCAAAGCTCAACACAATTAGTAGTGATCATTGGAAAAAAAATCAATGAATGACATAGGAATAGTAACATCGAAAACATTACAAGGCCCTATGGACTCGAACTTTGCGGGCATATGAACTATGACTTTGCGGGCTATATATGGCCTCATGGACTCAAAAATTTGTCTAACAGCCTCTTGAACATTTTGCGGTTCAGTGGTATTGACCCCTTCTTACTTAGCTTTTCAAAAAGAGGAATTACTGCCGTACACCCGTAATGGAGCAGAATTGTAGGAGGCGAGACCGAGGTAGTCACAGCGCTGCCGCCCGGCGAGCGGCTCTCGAAGGAGGCGGGCGTCGAGGCAAGTCGGGGTCGTTGTTCCCTCCAAGTTAATGGCGATGACGAGACGCACCAAGAACACCAAAGACCAAAACCCAAGACTGCAAAGCAATATCATCTCGGTTCCGACCCTGCTGCAAGGCGAGGAGACGGAGCGACAACCGACGATGCACGAACGGAACTCGCCTACATAATGTAATTCTTCTCCTAGCATTATATGTAACTAGCCGTATGATGGTGCAACCAAAAATACCAATAGACAAAAAACCCAATAAGCTAGGATCATCAACTGCGACGCCCTAGTCGTAATATTCCACAACGCCCGCAATACACAACGAAACCCAAAAAATATAGAAAAACGAGCCCGAGCCCAACAGCGCGCGCCGGATATTAAGAGCACTCTACCTCCTCAGAATACCCCAGACACCCGTACCAAAATCGGACCGCCGCCTCTCGGGGCCTGTTTTACTCGAGAAGGGCGTTCTGATGGAGCGCTGGGGGCCGTGCACCTGACGTCGCTTCAAGGTATGTCATAAGTTGAGCGTATTACTCTCAATTATGCCTTGATTCCTTAGTCATCTAGGGCGAGGTCTCAATCGAAATGTGTGCCGTTGTGGTCTCGGCTAACTCACTGCTGCTGTAGATACAGCAGATAGTCACCGTGCGGGTCACCGAGCTCTTGTCCGTGGTGCCCGTAATATTGTCTTGCTATGCACCCATTCGGTGAGCGGGCAGTAAACACGCGGTTATAGTTAGACAGACGGTTGACCGTGTGGCGTAGCTGTAGCGTGCTTATCGCGTATCGACCAGCAGGCAGAGGCAGAATGAACCTCAGGGCTCCTCACGAAGGTCATAGCTTGATTGCCGCGCTATTTCGAATCGAAGGTACTACAGTTCTTCGCGTACCTGCCAACTACGCGCATGGATCCACTTTTTAGACCGTTCTCTACATGCAGTGTATCTCTAACTGTGGGAGGAGGTATCAGCCGATGTGACAATTTACATCAGCAGATATTCATTTAGTAATAATATTTATCGAATCTGCGAGTTTTCATACTGAACTCTTCCATTCAAGGAAATAAATAGTAAACTAAAGGCACAAGTTATTAAGTACATTCAAATATCCACATCAGATAAATTACAAACACAAACGTGCTCGGAGAAGACATACCCCAGAAGGCAGATTAAGCTCGTACTTCGCCGCAATCGAGAGCGGTTGGCCTGGGGGGGGGGTTGGGGCACTGCCACTTGGGCGGGGTCTGACCGCTTGTTTTCTAGTGGTTTTTCGACCAATCGAGTTTTAGTTCATTGTTAGTGACTTGCGCGCCACAGAAAGATTTGATAGCGCCGAAAAAATGGCGTTCTGAGGAAATCTATGAAGGTGTATCATGGGCGTATTAGTAACCTAGTCTTATGTCCCTTGTTCGTTAGCAATAAATATTAGAAATACTAGTGCAATACTAATAGATATCCTCTCTGTATACACAACAGTTACCGTATAGAGTTCGCGATTGAGCACGCTGGGTGGGCAGAAGAATGGAAAAATATTGTCGCGGTAGGTTACGCACGGCGTTCGAGAAGTAGTGGGAACCTATCTCGGTGGCCTGCTCAAGAGCGGAAATCTTTAGGGTTTAATTGCTGTTTTTCATCACCGAGGCTTCGGAAAAGTTTCAACGTTTCGATCATGCTTCTTCTCGCATTCGTTGTGTCGTCGAGTTAGGCGCTCGATGGATTCTCTGAGTCGATCTTGAAGTTGCGATGAGTTCAGTTGATCTTCACAGCTAAAAATGATTACTCTCTAATACACGTGTAGTTGTCATTGCTGTAGGCAGCCCTAACGAGGAAGGTCGTTCAGGGCGTGCCCCGCTTTTTCAAAATGGTTTTTTGCATTTCGTAGGGGCTTGAACATAGACCACAGAAGTGGGGTTCATTTTCGCTGAGCGGCCCAGGAACGCCAAAAAAGGAGCGAAAATTACGTCTATGTACCCCCATATGAGAGGTTTTAAGCGCTATACTGGCGCCAAATTGCGTCGACGTCGAAAATAAGTGTCAAAATCGTAATCAGGACTATCGATTACCCTATGGACGAACTTCCAGCCAAAAATTTTTTTCGATTTTTCGGGTTGTGGTAGACCATTTGGTCGGCAGTGGTGACCGGAGTCTCACATCTTCGTAAAGATGATGACGTGACGATGACGTAGCAGAACGCGGGCAGGACAGCTGTGTCGCAAGGTGCCCCCAAGGTCCTGTCATGCTTGGCACAAGTATGGGTGGTCGCGGCATCGTGGGCCTTAGCCAATCCCTAGCCGCTCAATGAAGTTCATTCTCCACTACGGGAACAGAAATTGCACTCATTCAAATTCCTCAACTTTTTTGAAGTCGACCTGGACCAATACTCCCCTTTCCTTCCTCTTTGCATGAATTTCATCGATATTGTTAGTTTTATCTTTGGATATTAATAAAATAGGGGGTCCCTATGGCGAGGCACTGTAGACTTCTATAGAAAGACTGTCGGGCACAACCCAACGCACACACCCAAAAAAGTCGAAAAAATTTTTTTGGCCGAAAGATTGTTTACAGGGGTAATCGATGGCCCCGATCATGATTTTCACACTTATTTTCCTTATTTTCGGCGCCGGAGTAGCGCTACACGTCCCTTATAGGAGTAACGCAGTCACTAAAAGAAGTTTGTGGCTCCATATTAGCGATAAATGGCACCATAGCTACAAGTGAGTTCCATATTTGTGATTCGGGCATTGTCTGACCTATAAAGATCAACTTTCTACGGTTTTGCTTAATGGTATGTAAAACCTGGAACAATTGAATAGCATCCATTCATGGAG